TTATGCCTGGCACTTTAAAAATTCTTACACCTCAGTGATTTTATTTGCCAGATATATAATGGTAATTAAAAAGATCATGGAAAATGGAATCTGAGATTTTAGAGGAATACGTGTAGAGGGCATGCATAGTGTTTTTCATGACATACAGGCTCATGTACTTTTTTAAAAAGATTTATTTTATTTTTATTGGGAAGGCATATATACAGAGGAGAGACAGAGGAAGATCTTTCATACGATGGTTCACTCCCCAAGTGACTGCAATGGCTGGAGCTGAGCCAATCCAAAGCCAGGGGCCAGGAGCTCTTCTGGGTTTCCCATGTGGGTGCAGGATCCCAAAGCTTTGGGCCGTCCTTGACTGCTTTCCCAGGCCACAAGCAGGGAGCTGGATGAGAAGCAGAGCTGCTGGGATTAGAACTGGCAACCATATGGGATCCTGGCACATGCAAGGCTAGGACTTTAACTACAGTATCGCGCCGGGTCCAGGCTCATGTGCTTTTAAAGAGCTGGCTTAGGATTGATCTCTGAGCTAAAAAAGATAGGCAAATTGCTACTTCTGTGCAGATCAACCTCTCTGCTCCCACTCCTCCCACCTTCTTTTCTAGTCTGTGTTTTGTATAGTTGCTCATTGCCTGGTTCTCTGTGGTGTGCCTTCCATTCTCAGTATCCCATTGGTGTATCTGTGTATTCAAAAAAATCTGTTATTCATGACCCAAATACCTGAGCGACAGTTTGTTGATACAGGTTGAGCGGCCCTTATCCAGAAGGCTTATTAGAATTTGGGAATTTTTCAGATGTTGGGGTATCTTTTGCGTGGTATGAAGAAGTGGGGTGGGGAGCAGGTGCTTAGCCTAACAGTCAAGGTGCCTACTGTAGAACACCTGTGTTTGATTCCCACCTCTGGCTCTTGGTCCTGCTTCCTGCTGATGCAGACCCTGGGCGGCGGCAGTGATGGTCAGGTGCTTGGACCCCTGCCACACACACAAGGAACCTGAGTCACTGATGTCTCCAGCCTTGCCCTTGGGCATGAAGAACACTCACAGAGTGAGCCAGCAGATAGGACCTCGGTGTGGTGTCTCCAAATATTTAAACATCAGTGGTGTCTTGTGCACTGAGGGGCCTAAGAAAGAACATGTGATGGTGATGTGTAGACACTTTACACATGTACCATGAGGAAAATTTTATACAGTATGTTTAATGCGCTTACACTTGGCCTGTAGCCTATCACACGAGATCAGGCGTGGGATTTTCCACTTGTGATGTGCTATGGACACTCGGAAAGTTCCAGGTGCTGCAGCTTTTCAGTTTTGGTGTCCTAGCTTAGTGGTACTCAGCCCAGCTCACCTGGATGCTTCTGCTGCCCCACACTTCCACCCTACCTGCCCCTGCTGCTGAGACACCTGCAGGCAGCCTGACATCATTACTGCACCCCATTTTCCATTAGTGACATGATTGATGGCATGAGCTAGGCACACTTCGCTGGTGGCTAAGCTGGGATCTGAGGCTGTGGTCCTGAAGTCTCATTTTTTGTTCGGTGTCTTCCTTCCACTTTCCCCCCCTTAAACTGAATATAAAGGCAATACAATCCTAACTCCCAGCATCATTCTGTCTTGCTTTTGTGTGATATGTGAGTGAAATTCTCCTGTTGTTTGAATCTGTCATAGTTTATCTGTTCAGTAGTTGATGGATGTTCATTGTCAACTAAGGACTAATGCAGCAGTGTCCCAGTGAATGTTCTAGGTGATCCTGTTGGTAAACATAAGCACTCCTTTGTTTTGGCATGTACAAGGCATGAGATACTGCCAGAGCTCCGTGGGTGCCAAGGGATGACCACTGTGCCAGCTTTCCAGGACATTTGAGCCAAGTTGTGCTCTCCACAGTGGCATGCAGGGTCCCCTTGGTGACACACAGGGTTCCCATGATTGTCATCCTAACCTTGCTGGGGTGTGCCTTTTCCCTCCGTCCCTTGGCTAAATAGGCTGAGCACCTCTTCATCTGTTTGTTGCCTGTCTGCACGTCATCTTGGATAAAGCATCTCTCCTTTGGTCCAGATTTCTGCTGGATCTTTTTTCTTAATCTGCAGATTTTTGTTATTTTAGAAAACATTCTGGACGTGTGTTGCATGTGTTGCATGGCATGTGTTGCAAATCTATCTCCATGTATTACAACTATCTTCTCGTTTGCTTAGCGATAGAATTTTGATAAACAAAAACTCTTTTTAGTATGGTAGAATGCATTTTTTCCCTTTATGATCAGTCCTTTCTGTGTTCTGATTTAGTAATACCAGCTTACATCCCCTGTTCACTTGAAGATCATGAACATTGTATGAGGAGACGCTGCCCATAAAATGCATAAGGAACCATTTATATATCCTTTCCCTCCCTCCTCATCTCTCCCTCTTCCCTTCTTCCTCTCTCTCCCTTCCTCCCTCCTCCTCCCTCCTCCCCTCCCTCCCCCTCTTCCCTTCCCTCCCTCCCTCCCCCTCTTCCCTTCCCTCCCTCCCTCCCCCTCTTCCCTTCCCTCCCTCCCTCCCCCTCTTCCCTTCTCTCCCTCCCTCCCCCTCTTCCCTTCCCTCCCTCCCTCCCCCTCTTTCCTTCCCTCCCTCCCTCCCCCTCTTCCCTTCCCTCCCTCCCTCTTACCCCCTCTTCTCTTCTCTTCCCTCCCTCCCCCTTTCCCCCTCTCCCTCCCTCCATCCCTCCCTCCCTGTCTACCTCTCTCCCCCTTTCCCTCCCTCTCTGACTCCCTTCTTCCCTCCCTCCATCCTTCCCTCCCCCTTCCCCCTCCCTCCTTGTCTACCTCCCTCCCCTTTTCCCCCTCCTTCCCTCCATCCATCCCTCCCTGACTACCTCTCTCCCCCTTTCCCTCCCTCTCTACCTCCCTTCTTCCCTTGTCCTTCTTCCCTCCCTCCATCCCTCCCTCCCTTTCTATCTCTCTCCCTTTCTCTCCCTCTCTCTCTCCCTTCCTCCCCTCCTCCCCCCCCCTTTTCCACCTCTTCCCTTCTTTGCTTCTTCCTCTCTTCTCCCCCCTCTCTCTTCCCCTCATGTGGCCAGTGCCAACACTCCTGCCCCACTAACCCCACTCTAGGCCACTCTTGTCCTCCTCAGCCTTGGCTGCACACACAGGAGCTCCAAGGCTTGATGCAGAGAGCATGTGATAGTGCCAGCCCCGGGGCACTGGGCACGCTCCTGCTTTCATCCTGCCTCATCCTCCACACTCATGCTTGCACTTCTGGAATGGCACAGGTCCTCTCCAGCATACTCCAAACCTGAGGCGAAGCGTTGGACTTCTCTTAACTCCTTCGGGAAGCTCCCCACAAGCGCCTCTGCAGCTCTGCTCCCCTTCCCTGGCCTCCTTTTCATCCCATTGACCTCTGAACTTATTTTTTTCCTGCACACACAGTACCGTTGCACACGTCTTCCATCCAGATGCTTGTGCTTGCTCCAGCCAGCAAACCTGGAAACTGAGCAAGGCACCCCTCTTTGTGCCCCATGCCCTGGCCATGCTGGTGCTGGGGGCTTGACTCCCCCTCTGCTCAAAGTTTATCAGGGGGCCCCCAAGCCACCTCTTATTGGGCATTGTCTCCCCGCTCCAGCTTGGGCCTCTCAGTCATGTTTGGCCGTGGCACCCTGGAAACTGTGTGTCTTTAAGTGACCCTTCAGGACATCTGTTTGCAATTTCCAGACCCTGAGCAGGGATTTGGGTGCAAGTAGTTTATCTGGGAAGTAATCCCAGGGACCACTGGGAAGGGAGCAAGAGGCTATGAAGAAAAGGGTTGTCAAAGACTGGGTGACTGGGCAGTGTGGCTATTGCACAGGCCCCCCACACCCCAGGCATGCACAATACGTGTTCCAGGTCCAGCTCTTGGTCCAGCCCTCGGGGTGGCCGGGCTGTCTGTGCGTAGATCCCTAGGGATGGGGGAGGCTGTTGGCTGTGTCTGCCTCCATGACGTTGATGGATTACCTCCCCCAGAGTGCCTTGTCAGCATCCAGATTTCTCACTTACACAGTTGGGAGTCTGGGTTTTCAACTCTCCGTTCCTGTTTCAGTGGAAGGATTTTTTGACTGTGTGCTGTGGCTGTCCCCAGTTCTCCAAGTGAAATGCTCCAAAAACACACTGCTCAACTGAGCCATAAGCAGGTGGCCACTGCTGGGACCCCTGGGAGTCCTACCCCCTCCTCCCACTGACCCCTCAGCTCTACAGCTGACCTATAGAGAAGCCCACTGCTCACATCTGTGGGTCTGCCTTGCCCCCTCGCTGCATTACACGAGGGGGCCTTGTTTGCTGATGGCTGTTGGAGACAGGCCTCGTGTTGCCCATAGAAGCCTTTGTTTCTCCCCAGGCCCTGTAAAGCTCAGACTGGAACTGCTGAACTTGGTGCCATGAGATTAGCTCTCTGGGGAGAAAGTACACAGAACTGGGTGGAAGGTGGGGATGAATGCAAAATGTCACATGTAAAGTGATGTACCTGCCTTTTGGACATACACACTCATTATCCTCTTTCTGTATCTTTTGTTACCAGAAATGCCTGGTGGATTCTTTCCTTAGCTTAGTATAGAAATAAAAAGCTGGGAATCTGTTGCAGACAGAAAAGTTTATTTGCAAAGGGACCAGGTGAACAGGGAAGGGAGAGGGAAGGGGAAGCACCTCCCAAGAGATAGCCGGGAGGTGGGGGCCCTCTCCAAAGAGGAGGGAGAGACACCAAAGGTTTGAGGAAGGGTCTTGGGATTTTAAGCATTCCCTGACCCCTCCTTGTTGGGCAGGAACCTACAGGTAAGATGTTCTCCATTGGTGGTCTCTTAATTAATTAGGAAGTAGGTGGGCAATGCTAATGCCGCCTACCTGAAGGTGTGGCCAAGACTTCAGCGGGCCTGAATGGTCTCATCTTTAAAACCGCATCCCCCCCATCCAATGTGGTGGTTGGACCATGCCTCCAGCCCTGACAGTGAGCTAGCTGTGTGCGCTCTGGTGGTGGAGGGAATCATGCTGTCTTCTTTGTCCCATAGCACCTGATGTGTGCTGGGCTATGGTGCCTGGTTGAAGGAGATGCGTCTTGCAAGACCAAGCTGGACCCACCACTGGACGGCACCGAGTGCGGGGCAGACAAGGTAAGCTCAGCATCGCACAGGGCTCCTTGCCTCCTGGACGCATCTATGCTCAAAACTCAGGGGCCCTCGTGCTTCTGTCTGATGAGATGCAAGCAGCTGTTGCTTAATAACATTTTTAGTTAGCCAAACTCCTTTGGCATGTGCTTGCTGGGTGAACAGTGAGATGTGTCCGTCAGTACACTCGAAATGGAGGGACAGCTTCCCTTGCCATTTTCAAAAGCTATGATGACGAGAATTTGTTGGGAGAGATGCTGCCCAGTCCTAGGTGGGGTTTGGGAGCACACACATGGGAGCAGGCAGGTTTTGGGGCCATCGGTCACGTGGCCCTCTTTGTTGCCTTCCTGTGAGGGCAGAAAAGCCAGGAGTTAACGTTTCACTCAGGTGCTGCAAGTGGGCAAGCGCTGGGTCACACCTCATGCCCCAGGTCTCTGCCACACCCTTGTCCGAGAACAGGCTTTTTCTTAGAGTAAAACAGATTGGCCCACGTAGGTGGCATAAGCACCAAGCACAGCCCTGAAATCCAAAGTCTTGGAAGTAGACAACGCTGCCTTCTGGAGAGGAAGGTGTGGGCAGTGGGTGTGCCTGCAGGAGCTCTGGGCTCCCCATAGGCAGTGCAGAGTGGTTCTTGGCTGCTGATGTAGAGTGTTCAGTGGAGCCATCCCAGCAGAGCTAGGGCACAGTCCAAACCCCACGAGGTGTCACATGGAAAAGTGAGGCTGTCACGGGACCCATTGACGGACATGTGCTGGGGGTGCTGTTAGGGGGCCCTGTACGTTCTGGGACTGGAGGAGCAGCTCTGCTGAGCCCCCTGCTCCACCCAGTGGTCTTTGCCTTTCAGTGGTGCCGTGCCGGGGAGTGTGTGAGCAAGACGCCCATCCCGGAACACGTGGACGGAGATTGGAGCCTCTGGGGTGCCTGGAGCATGTGTAGCCGCACGTGTGGGACGGGAGCCCGCTTCCGGCAGAGGAAGTGTGACAATCCCCCGTAAGTCACCTCCACCCCAGTGTCCTCCGGTGCCCCAATCAATCCCACGGCAGCTCTCACTGCCACAGCATGGCCAGGGTGTCTTCTGCCGGGAGCAGGAACGCAGCAAGTGCAGATGCATCCCTGGTCTGGCGGCCCAAGAGGCTGTGGGTCAGAGAAAGGCTTCCTGAGGCAACCAAGGCTTCAAGGGTCACTTCCGGAAAACCTGCAGACCCCTCCAGGGTAGAGAGAGGCTGCCCTTGAACCTGGCTGTTGGCTAACCAGGAATACCTTTCACTTACTGGAATCCTCTGCCTGTTACCAGGGGCCACAGGAGATCTTTCTGGAAATCCCACCGTGGTTGTGAAAATCCCACGCTCCTCTCTCTCCACTGTAACTTGGAGTGGTGACCCACCCTGCTGTTCTTCCTGCATCTTCCCTCAGGGAGCTGCCGCTCGTGGACAGCCAGGGCAGTTTGAGGTCTCAGGTCCTGCTCAGCTTCCCATCCAGTTTCTGTCATCGTTTGGCAGTGAGAGAAGCAGCAGGAAGAGGCCGGAGTCCTCAGTGCTCCGGGGACCGGCTCTTTCCCTGGGGGCACCTTTGTAGCTCTTCTCCTTTGCTGTTCATGACCCTGGTCCTGCTAGACATTGTCACTAAGTGTGTGCACCTGTAGTGACCAGCAAAGAGACACACAGTTCCAACCTGCCCTCTGCTGCTGCCTCCCAGCTCAGGGTGTAGCCCTGCCTTTGGCACTCTGCACAGCAGAAGGGTGCGACTTTGCTGTGTAGCATTTGCATCTCTGCCATCAGGATGGCCACCTGCAGTAACAGTACCTCCATACAGAGGTAACACACTTTCTCTATCCTGGTGGTTTTCAGCGAGGTCCTCCCCTTCACAGACCCAACCCCGGTGGAAGGGGAGAGATGGAGCAGGTGGATTGGCTGCAGTCTTGGGGGCTTGCTGACAAGCTGTGGGTGCCATCAGCACTTTAGGAAGTTGAGGTCACACATCCAGTCTGCCTTGCAGAATGGCCTGATGGGGTGATTGTTACAAAGCACAGCTGACCGAGGCGTCAGAGCCAAGCTCTGACCCAAAGAGCCTCTTCTCCCGGACTCACTCCATAAATCACCAGGCGGCTGCCTGGGACTGCACAGGGTCTGCATCTCACTGTGTCGTCTCAGGCTGGGGCAGCTCCCAGGGCCCTGGCCACCCCCTGATAGTGCTGGCCCCTCGCTCTATCTTGCACAGCTGTGCTAGTCTCTGTCCAAACACGTAGGCAGACTCTTGACGGTCCTGGTCTTCGCAACTATGGAAAGATTTTACATTTTGTTATTTTTGTATGACCAGTTGATCTTGGTCTATCTATTTTTTTTTTAGATTTATTTATTTTGGGGAAAAAGATTTATTTGAAGGCAGAGAGAGAGGTCTTTTATCTGCTGATTCACTTCCCCAAATAGTGACAATGGTCAGGCTTGGGCCAGCTGAAGCCAGGGACTAGGAGCTCCATCCAGGTCTCCCACTTGGGTACAGGTGCACGAGCACTTGGGCTCTGCTGCCTTCCAGGCACATTAGCAGGGAGCTGGATCTGAAACCTGGCAACCATAACTCCAACTACCCCTTAGGTGGGGAATGTCCATGTCCCACAAGGCAGCGTAACCCACCATGCCCCCTGCCAAGCCCGACCATCCTGGCTTTTGAATCAGCTTCCTGGGCTTGTCTTTGCTGCCCTGACTGGTTTCACTTTCAATGGGAGTGGTGCCAGAAGAGTGGCAGATAAAGAATCTGTTAGGAATTTTCTCCATTAACCCGACACCAAATGCAGCAAATCGCACAGTAGGTCTTAATTCAAACAGGAGGGGAGAGAGAAAACAGAGGGAAGAAGGCCATGGGAAGGGAATGAAGGCAGAGAAGAGAGAGGGGTCTCCTGTCATAGTGACAAAAGGGGGCTCCAAAGGAGACCAGCAGGTGAAACAGGAGGGGAAGAGAGAGAGCACGCACCCGTTTTCATAACATACGGGCAGGCATTGGAAGTACAGGGCCATGGGAATTGGTAGACACAGTGGTAGACAGGGCCGCAAGGGATTGGTGGGTAGGGCTGTCAGGTAAGGTGCCACGAGGCAACAGTGGAGTGTGGGGTGACAGTGGATTGGTAGAGGATTAGGCACCTAATTAAATAGTACAAGACTTTACAGAAATGAAACCGAACCTAAACTTTAGGGGAACCTAAGCAGGCATCTTATCGGTCTTCCAGGCTGATGCTTGAGTCACTCCCCGCAGAATCCATCTCATTAGGTTGCACCAGGAAGCTGCACTGGAAGAGGACCAGGAAGGAAGAGGAGAGGGGCTGGACTGGTCTGGAAGAGTAGCCAGGTCACTGCAAATGCAGAGCAGCAAGAAGGACAGCGGATACATGGGGCATGCCAGGCTCCACTGGCAGCACTGGCAAGGAAAGCAGTTTGCTCCCAAGCCCCAGTGGGAGGCAAGTGGGGGCTTCCCTTCCACAGTCATGGGCATGTGTGTGCCCAAGGTGCCAGCACGCCACCTTGCACTGTTGTGAGTAACTTCTTGAAACCCCCAGATTTCATGGCCAGTGCTGTAGTGCAGCAGGCGAAAGCAAAGGCATGGGTTAGTGTCCCAGCTCCTCCACTTCTGATCCAGCTGCCTGCTAATATGCCTGGGAAAGAAAGCAGTGGAGAATGGCCCAAGTGCATGGCCCCCTGCACCCAGGGAGATATGGAAGGAACTCCTGGCTCCAGGCCGTGGTTCAGACCAGCTCTGGCTGTTGGTGGCCATTTGGAAAGTGAGCCAGCACGTGGGAAAGTGTTCTCTCACACATATTGTGTCTTTCAAGTAGAATTAATACATCTTCAGAAAACAAACTTTTTTTAAACCCTGGTTTCTCCTCTAAGGCATGAGCTGCATGTGTTTTGGGGGACCTCTCACAGGACCTTGCCCCCTGAGACTTGGCTGTCCTCAATGTGTAGCAGCAGCCTAACAGCTTCCCCTGCTTCTGGGAGCACCTGGACTGGAGGGGCTGGAACCACTGCCTCTGCTGAGCACAGTGTGTGCCCCTGTCTTCCTTTAACAGAGCATGGCAGGGGTGAAATTGAGTGCCACTCAGCAGGTGTCGTCCTCAGCCAGTCTGCCTCTGGTCTCCACTTTGACCCACTCCCAGGAGAGTGCCCACCTGGTGCTGCCTGGTTCTGGTCCTCTTGATGAACCCTCTGCTTCTCTGCTCCAGGCCTGGGCCTATCCTAAGCACTGTGGCTGGAGATTGGACTTAGGGTGGAATTCACCTTTCTCTCCACACTTCACATTTCTCACCGCAGCCTCTACCTTGTTTTTGTCCTGATTGTTAGATGTCCTTATGGTGGCAAAACATGCAGAAGGATGTGATTCCTTGTGTCCCAGCCATATGTGTTAGGCACATGAGAAGTGAGAGGGGAGTTGTTGGTGCTGGGTGCACAAGCTTGTAGCCACACAACAGGCCCAGAGCCCTGCCCTGCAGCATGAACTGTGGGGCAGTGTGGCTTCTACCTGCTGCACTGGCTCACTGGAGACTTGAATTGGCCTTCCCTGCTCAGACATGAGGCTGGGCACCCACCCATGTCTCCCTTGACCCTATAGAGAGCCTTCTTTGGAGCTCCAGCCATCTGGTTTTCCTTCTCACATCCCACTGTATTTGTGTTTAGAAAATCATGAGAGAAAACTGGCCGCTGGGGGCTGCAGTTGGAGGTTCCTTAAGAGGAAGTGAAGACCCCAGCACCTGCCCCCAGAGCCATGGCTATCACGGATCCCAGCCCCCATGTCCCTCTCTCGTCTCTGCTCTATGGCAAGGCCTCTTGGAGCCTCGCGTTTCCCCTCAAGAGGATGCAGTTGGGAATGTGCAGGCCGTGTGCAGTCAGGGATACAGGTCTGGCCCAGCAGGCGCCCTCTGGGCTCATACCAAGACCCCTGCCAGTACACCTCTTTCCTTGTAGTCACCCCCATCTCAGGATGAGATCTCAGCAGCTGCCGTTTCCCCCTGAGGCTTCCTGGGGACATGAAGTCCTGGCCAGGGCATTCCTTGGCCTGTGCCTTCCAGCCATCTTGGGCACAGCTGAGTGATGGACGTGAGACTACATTTAACTCACTGCACCTGTGTCGTCCTGGGCCTCCTGTTAGCCCCACCAGCGTGCGTGCTCTCATTCCCCTCTCCTTGTTTATGCTCCTCTGTTAACTGTGCTGGGCACACAACTCAGAGGGGAGCCTCCAGGATAGCTGAGAGCCCTCGCCCACTGCTCCCACCCCCCCGGCTCAGCCTCTGCTGCCTGCTTGCTGGCCTGGACACAGCAGCACCCGAAGCCCATGGTACTCACTCAACTCGGGCCTTGTCCCCTCTGCCAGTGTGGGATCCTCGGTCCCCCACAGATACCAGGCAGGAAGCCAGTGTGGCTGTCCCTGCCAGCCATACCCTCCCCAGCAGAGTCCCCTTTGTGGCATGGAGAGGGCACCTTCCTGGATGGTCTTGGGACCAGTGTCACTGCAGGAGCTCCTCACCGCTGCTGGTCTCTCCAGATCCCTGCCCTGTGGCTCGCTGCAGGCAGGGACCTGGGGCATCCCAGGCTGCGGCCCTGACCATGTGTGGCCTCACACTTGTCACGAACAAGTGCCTAAATCCTTCAAATTTGTTTCATTCTGAAGTTAGGGGCGGCTGTTACTTCATCGCCCTGGAACTTCGCAGCCTCCACACCTGGCAGATAGGACACAGTCCCTAAGATGCTGCTTGGGTCACCCCTGCCCCACATCAGAATGCCTGCATGAGGCCCAGCTTTGCTCCAAGCCCAGCTTCCTGCTAATGCACACCCTGAGAGGCAGTGACGATGGGGAACATTAGTCCTTGTCACCCATGTGGTGAAGACAAATTGAGTTCCTGGCTCCTGGTTTAGCCTGTTCTTGCCCCGACTGTCACAGATGTGGGACAGTGAACCAGAGATAGCAGATTGATCGATCCATTCTCTTCTTCTCATCTTCTTTCAAATAAGATGAAAGTCAACTAGTTTTTTTTTTTTTTTAGATTTATTTTTTTATTATTTTTTCACTGGAAAGGCGGATATACAGAGAGGAGAGACAGAGAGGAAGATCCTCCGTCCGATGACCCACTCCCCAAGTGAGCGCAACGGGCCGATACTATGCCGATCCGAAGCCAGGAGCCTCTTCCGGGTCTCCCACGCGGGTGCAGGGTCCCAAAGCTTTGGGCCGTCCTCGACTGCTTTCCCAGGCCACAGGCAGGGAGCTGGAAGGGAAGCGGGGCTGCCGGGATTAGAACCGGCGCCCATATGGGATCCCGGGCGTGCCAGGCGAGGACCTTTAACCACTTGCGCCACCGCGCCGGGCCCAACTAGTTTTTTTAAATGCATACTTATTTTAGAAAGCACACACACAAAAACAAACAAAAACCCACTTACTAACAATCCGAATCTCCTTGTCACTCAGGGCCAAGTTTCAAGTCCAGGTTAAAGACAGTCTGTGGATCCTGCTACACTGAGCCTGACTGTACCCTGTTTGCAGATGCCCTTGATGTAGAGCTCTTGGACACGCCTCTGTGACAGCTCCCTTCAACAGGCCACCAGTGTGGCTTGGGGTGGCCGAGCCCAGGCCTGCTTGGGTAACCCTGAGCCACCTCTGCTGTGCCATCCAGCTAACTCAGCCCTTCTTCTCCATTCCAGCCCTGGGCCCGGAGGCACACACTGCCTGGGCACCAGCGTGGAACACACAGTCTGCGAGAATGCACCCTGTCCCAAGGGCCTGCCCAGCTTCCGGGACCAGCAGTGCCAGGCGCACGACCGACTGAGCGGCAGGAAGAAGGGCCTGCTGACAGCAGTGGTGGTAGATGGTAAAAGCATTTAGTGCTTCTGCATGGGCTGGTCTCCCTCACTTCTCCCCAAGAACATAAAAGCCACCTAGGAGGGCACAGGGCACTCCTCTCCCAACCTACCCAGCAGGACTCACACCCTCCCCCTACTCACCCCCTTCCTGAGCCACAGGGTTGAAGCTGAGTGATGCTGTCAAGAGCAACCTTGGAGACAGCAGAGGCAGGTTTATCTTGTACTCCTCCCCAGTACAGTACAACAGGTGCACTGGTGGCCTGCCACCTGATGCCATGTGCCAGGAGACCCAGTACAGGCTCTGTAGGAGCAGGGCTGTCCGTGGCTGTGCAGCTGCCCCCTGATGCCATGTGCCAAGGGACCCAGACACAGGCTGTGTGGGAGCAGGGCCGTCCGTGGCTGTGCAGCTGCCCCCTGATGCCACGAGCTGAGGGACCCAGCACAGGCTGTGTGGGAGCAGGGCCGTCCGTGGCTGTGCAGTTGCCCCCTGATGCCACGAGCTGAGGAACCCAGTACAGGCTCTGTAGGAGCAGGGCCGTCCGTGGCTGTGCAGCTGCCCCCGATGCCACGAGCTGAGGGACCCAGTACAGGCTCTGTAGGAGCAGGGCTGTCCGTGGCTGTGCAGCTGCCCCCTGATGCCACGAGCTGAGGGACCCAGCACAGGCTGTGTGGGAGCAGGGCCGTCCGTGGCTGTGCAGCTGCCCCTGATGCCACGAGCTGAGGGACCCAGTACAGGCTCTGTAGGAGCAGGGCCGTCCGTGGCTGTGCAGCTGCCCCCTGATGCCATGTGCCAAGGGACCCAGCACAGGCTGTGTGGGAGCAGGGCCGTCCGTGGCTGTGCCGCTGCCCTGCTTTCTGGTTCGATCATTTCCTGTATTGCTTTTCTTAGTTCTTTGGTTCTGACTGCTTCCATGGGAAGTTTTGGGAAATTCTGACAACAGTTTATGATGTGGAGGAGATACTACTAGTAAGTGCGGGTCGCACATTTTCTTTCCCAATGTTTTCCCCCCAGTCGGGATGCTCTGCCCTCCAGCTGACCCCAGAGGGTCTGTTTACTGTAAGGGACAGCCCAGGGCTTAGTTCTGTGGCTTTCCACCTAACTGTCCCCTAACTCCGCTTCAGCTGATCTGTTACCAACTGTGGCCTCTTCAGTCGAGCACAGCCCACGTCAGGCACCTCATCTTGCTGAGCTTGCAGGGCCAGCTGTGCGCAACACAGGAGGTGACAGGTGACAAATCTGAGGGGACAGAGGAATGGGGATCTGACCCCAGTTATGATGGCGCAAGACAGACTCAGAAAATACTCACGTGTCCCCTGACTCCCAACAAACAGTTGGGAAAGACAGAAAGTGTGGCTTGGGACTTGTGTCTGGAAGCACCAGAAGGCGCTGAAGCAGCCAGGCGTGGCTCCCAGACGGCCTCTCCTACAGCAGAGTGACCGTCCGGCCACCCCGCAGGTTCCTCTCCTGTGACAAGAAGGACCTCTGCCGTCTGCACTCTGCAGGCGTGACTGCCTCGGTGGCTTCCCCACAGCCTGATCTGACTGGTTGGAGTCAGAAGCCATGTGCGATGCTCTCACAGCAGTTCACAGCCGTTGCATAGCTGTGGCTTCATTTTCAGGTATCAGGGAACGCTCCCACAGACCGCTAACCCTCCTCTGCAACAGGGCCCCGTGTGTGGCACAGTCACCTGACCCCCAGCTTGTGGGAGCAGTGCCACCTTCATACCTGCGAGGGACCCTGTGCATCTGGAGGACATGGAGGCAGCCTGAAGCTGCCAGCCGTCTCGGGCCCCATCCAACCCCTGATCAGGAGTGAGAGAGTAGCGGTTGGGGCCTCCATCCTCAGCAGCCCTCCTTCAGGCCTCTTGCATCAGGGGGAGGCAGCGGTCAGGTCCTTTCCAGCCCCCGTGTTCCCAGATCCAGCCCCCCGTGTTCCCAGAGTCGCTGTGTTTTCTTTCCTCAGTGCCTCACTTCTGTGTGGAATTATTTCATCAGTGCACAAATCCCACTTCATTGCTGGGTTTTCCACAGATTTCTCCAAGTCCAGATTAGACTTCTGTGTGACTTACAGCCACTTTTGGCTGACGTTGGAGCCCACTGGTTCCCTTAGCGTCCTGTGGGAGCCTGAGACCTCTGTCTGCCTGTGCCCTCTGGCCAGGCAGCCTGACAGCAGCCACCGCTTTTGACCTGTCAACAGTAACTTTGTGGGTAAGGACAACAGACAGGCGTCAATGTGTGGGTTACCCCTGCAGTTCATGACAGTCTGAAATTTAAGAATTGGCTGGTGCGAACATTTTCAAATGCACACATCGTTTCTGATTTATTTTTAGCAGTCTCTTTCCTGGGCTGTTTGAAGACCACTTGCATTTTGCCCCTGAAGGAGAGACACCATCCTAGGCTTTCCAAGGCAGCGGATGCTTCTTCCCTGTCCTCTGGGTGTGGGATCACTGTGTTCAGGCACATTTGGAAACCAGTGCTGTTTAAAGAGGCTTTTTCCAGGGATGGAGACAGGTTAGCAAGCAGCAGGTGAGCAGGTGGCCACCACGCGTTCCTGTCAAAACTCAGCTTCTGGACAGGTGGCACAGGGCGGGGCAATGGGGGCAGGTATGCCATGCACAATGCTGCAGTCACCCAGCTCGGGGCTGAGTCAGGAAAAGGAAAGCAAGGTATCTTTTCTTCTTCTTCATTCTTCATTCTTGCAGAGGTGGATTTTCCAAGGAAGGACTCAGGACCACAAGCACATCCCCCTCCAGAGGAGGACAAAAGACTTGCCTTGGAAAGAGTTTCCAAGTGGAAAAGGCAGGCACCCAGCCTGGCGGCCACTTGCTAAAACCACCTTCTGGCTGCACTCCCCCTGGGTCTCCTCTTACTGGAAAGTTTCATGAGAGTTCTCTTTGCACCACGCAGGTGTGTGTCCACTGATGTCAGCAAGGGGTCCCATCCTGAGCTGAGGAAAGGGGTTGAGGGGCAGGGTACAACATGGAGGCTTTTGTGCCTTCAGGAGCCATTGATTCAGAGTGAACAGTGATGGAGGGACAGCTGTCCCAGCCTGGCATCATCGTGAGAGATGAATCACTCCTTCCGATGGCTCACGTCAGACCCATCCCAAGGGACTTTGCACATTAGACCACATCCGGGGTTTGCCCTGTGCTTCTCTGAGGAATGACTGGTCTCTGAAACAGCATGCATTTCCCAGCAGTGCCTATAGACTGCCTGATGCAAGGGAGGGGCTCGAACTGTGCTTGTAGAATGAATAAATGTTGAAGGACCGTCACATTCATGACCTGGGAAGCTAATGCGCTTCAGTTTACCATTCAGTTTCCCCCTATATAATTGGGAGAACTGAACTCCCCATTGCCACTGTAGTCCTGTGCCCTAAAACAGGCTGCCCTTCTGTGGATGCTGCCCAATCATGGCAGAGGCTGGGTGACGCCGTGCAGGGAGGTTACCAAGGAGCCCCAAGGCCACCTGAGCTTTGCGGGGCTTTCTGTGCATTTGCTTGCCTTGCTGACCTTTTCTGAAAGGCTGGTGGGGGAAACTAAAGGCATGGAATGCATGAGCTGCTTTGTGCTCCTGGAGCTTGACTTTGCAAAGGAGTCCCAGGACAGCATTAGCGTTAGTCACGGAGAGGGGCAGGTGTCTTTCCCTTGGTTACCTGAAGAAGAGCAAAGTCCTTTTATTTGTCCAAACACATTGACTGTGCTGTTGAGGGATCCAGGTCCTGGGCCTCATCCATACTAGAGCAGGAATGCTTCCATCCAGTTAGTGCTGGGCTTTCAAGGTACAGGTTGTACATCCCTTCTCTGAAAGGCTTGAGATCACAAAGGTTTCCCATTAGGGATTTTTGAATAGTTGCATATACATCCTAAGCGGAACGTGAAATTTGTTCCTTATGCATATACAAAACAATTGCACACAGTGTTTTTAGTTCTCCCGTGTTGTTAACTGTGGCCTATCACACGAGGTCAGATGTGGAATTTTCCATTTGTGTCATCATGTTGACACTCAGAGTTTCAGATTTCAGATTAGGGATGCTCAACATGTGATCAAAGCGCACCCTTTTTAACATTCTGTCAGTCCTGGGATCCACTCCACAAGAAGACTTCTTTTGGGGGGTCCCTGAAACAATGACAGGACAACAGACTCAAGGCCTAGGGCTATGTGTACAAGGTGTTAACAGCAGCAAGGTCCTGCAAGGAGAGAGCGCTGCAAGTTTTGAGGTTATGGGAACCTTCTAGAAGGTGATTCTGGGAGGGATCTGTGGACAAACTTGCCAAAGCACATGAGTTCAGTGTGCTGAGGCAGTGCAGGCACATCCAGGAGTGCCTAGGACCTCCGGCTTAGTTTTATCCAGAACCTTCTAATCTTACAGCACAGTTCTGCTACCCAGAAACTGGGGTCTGGGGAGCATTGAAGCTTTAAGCAAAAGCCCTGTGAGATTACCCCCGCCCAGGGTTGGAGTTCACCTGCCCCCTCCTCCTCCATCCCCACTGCGGTCACAGTTCCTTTCCTGGCTCACGCTTGACACACACTGAGTGTACACAGAGGTTAGCGCACAATCCTTGCTTCCTGCAGCCTCCTGTCTGCTGCCGTAAGGAAGAGGAGATGCTGTGACTGAACCGAGGATAGAGAGGACAGAGCGTCCCATGTTGCCGTTGACTCCAGTGGGAGGGCTTTGCCCGTGTTCAGTGCAGCAGGTGCCTGGACGTGAGGAAGCCCACCAGGTTGCTGGGACCTTTACCTGAAGCCTTCCCTCTGACTTACCTGTCACCCATGTACACCTGCTGGTCCCCTGGGACCACACAACCCTTCCTGTGTCAATGTCCACCAACATTTTCCTCCTCAGATAAACCGTGTGAACTCTACTGCTCACCGCTTGGGAAGGAGTCCCCACTGCTGGTGGCCGACAAGGTCCTGGATGGCACACCCTGTGGGCCCTACGAGACCGACCTCTGCGTGCATGGCACCTGCCAGGTGATGTCCTTTCTGTGATGTCTTTGATGGGTTCTGGAGGGTGGGATGGGCCCAGAGTGGAGGGCATGGATTTTCTGAGGCAGGCTCCCAGTACAGTGGCCCCCTGCAGCTGGCAGCAGCTGTCTTGGTGCCATTCTTAGCAGCATCTGAACCTGAAAGTCACCTGCAGGTCAACAGGGCATTGGGGGTGACAGAAAAGCAGCAGCAGGGTAATCATCTAAAGACTTTTAAATGACTTTGGGTACCTTGCCTGAGAGCAGGTGCCATCCTCCCAAGGGGCTAGGGGACCTGCTCACGGACCCTGCTCCAGACAGTTGTAGAATCAGGCAGATTCCATAGGTGCTCCCTGGGCAGGCAGGCCTGATAAATGCCCCCTGGAAGAGGGGAGAGGGAGGCGGCCCCTTCATCTACTTGGGGTGTGCTTGAGCCTTGGGCCCCTGCAGCCTCTAGCAGGGCAGGGCCTGGGTGGCTTCTCCGTGCTCCCCATCCTGTCAGGACTGGCATCCTCTGCATGTGGTGGCCCAACTGGAAGATCAGGGATGGGGCAGGAGGTCAGGGCTCTTGGTTTAGTGCTTGGAGGATCATGGCTCAGGCGATTCTGCCGAGGAGCAGCTGCTGCAGGCCTCGGTCAGCACCTTCTGCTGTGTTCTTGCCACAACCCTGACAGTGTGTAGCCCAGGGGTCTCTCATGCTGGTAGATGTATCTCCTTCCATGCTCTTAGTCTCTGCATAAGCTTTGTCACATGGGGACTCCTCCTAGAGCTGTGACAGTGAAGCCTCAGTTCCTTAGTGAGAGCAAAGCTCGAGGGGTCACACAGTGCACCGAGGCCCTGAGAGCCCCAGACCCGCAAGCCTGTTGTGTACGTCCGTGTTGTCTCGGAGGAAGCTGCTGACACAATCGCATGACAGACTGGTGTCTCAGTGTCCTGAAGGGTGTGTCCTGCCCCTCCTGGCAGCCCGGCAGTCCTAGCAGAAGGACCACTGTCTGTATAGGTAGCCACACCTGCTAGAAATCATGTCTCAACATCAGCACCCTGGGAGACAACTTGCTTTGTGCAGGAAGTTGTTTTTCTGAAAGAGGATTAATGTGAAGGTCCTCCAGAAAGCTCCAAGTTACTGAGGTCCCAAGTAATACCACCTCCTCATCTAAACTGGCCTTATTTTGATAGACCATAAATGAACTACAAATACAGTATTTATGACTGGTTGCAATTATGGCCAAAAATGGAATGTCCTGTTTGTGGTACTTGGAAATGAACAGGCAAGGGAAAAAATGACTAGAGAAAATAAGAGGACTCAATCTCTGGGGTGGAGAGGAAGTGGATCTGCGTGGATGTAATTATCTCATTCCAGTGGATGAAAGCTGGACATACCCCCGCATTGTGTGTGGGTCAACATGTATAGAAATAGCACTGCCATCTTGCTGGCTTTTGTTGCTGGGGTGGCGGCAGGGATTGCGGGCTCTTTTGAAGGACCTGGTGACTAGCTGGTGGGGGTGAGAACACCCGAGCAGAGCTGCTTGGCACCATGGCAGGGCACACAGAGATGCCCTTGCCTTCTGTTGATGACAGCTGTGTTAGGTTTCACTTCAGTGAGTCACAAGTTGCTTAACATGCTGAAATTAAGCTCAGAAAGTAGGAGGGAGTTGGGGAAGAAGCACAAATGTATATTTTTCAGCGAGTCACCATAAATCAAGAGGCCCCGTGGCAGGAGCAGCAGCAGCAAACTCTATGGATGATCTCCACAAGCCAAGACACCGAGGGCCTCCGTCTTGGAGCACAGCTTAGCCGCAGCAGCTGCCGAGTCAACTCCTGGCGTGGCCGTTGCACAGGCGATGTGGGGTCCAGCTTTTCTGTAACGGCGGGTCAGCTGTGCGTGCTGAAGCTACCCTGCTCTGATTGGGCTCAAACTTCCTTGGAAAGCTACCCTGGGTTCAAATCCTGGGCTCAGCCAGCCGCACACCCACCATCAGGGCCATGGGCTTCCTCTCTGTGGGAAGGGTGTCTGGTGCTCCGTGTGCCCCCGGTGCTGCCCTCAAGGAAGCCTTTGTATGCTCATTGAAAACCTGAAGGTGTGTGAATGGTAGGCCAGTCACTGCTGTTACGACCACAGTGGTTCTGGGGTCTGGAGCCCATCTCAGTGGGCCGTTTTTTTGGCCTGGCATGGTGTGTCAGAGGTCTGTCAGGCAAGTAGGATCACTGGCGGAATCTAGCAGTGTTATATGAGATCCGGACTGGCCTCAGACCACCCTCTGCTGAGGCCAAGGTAGCCATGTGCCTGCAGTCGGGGCCCGGAGCAGTGGTCTCCTGCATGTTGCCGTTCCCTGCCTTCTGTGTGAGTGCCAGTGACCACTGGCTGCAGCGCCTAAAACTCAGAAGCCATTCTCTGTTACCTTACCATGGCAGCTTCGAGATGAAGCCAATAGACCAAGCCATGTGTTCTGCCTCTGAGGCCATAGGACTCCAAAGTGATGGGAGAAGCAGAAAGAGTGCCACAATAGAAGCAGAGGCCACTGGGGCAGAGGGACTGGGGGAGAGGACCCCACCTCTCCCCAAGGACAAACCTGGGTGGAAGTGTTGTGAAGGAACAAAGCAGGAGGGGCTGGAACCCAAGAGGAGGCACAGGCTGAGTGTCTGGGACCTGGGAAACAGGGCAGGCGAGTGAGGCGTTGGCTGAAAACAAGAAAGCCCAGGGCTGTGTGTGGCCTGGCTGACCATGTCCAGCAAAAAGAGTGGGCTGCCTTTCGAGAGGCTTAGGCAACTCTGCAGGCACAGCAGAGGCAGGGGCGTGTCCGCCAGGCTGATGTGGGGCACCTGCCCTCCTGGGCTCTGGAGTGGATGCCAGCTGCCTGCCCACTGACCTGCAGACAGGCTTCAGGCATGATACTGCCCACCCTCAGATATTCCAGAAAACTTCAAAAATAAAATGGGATTGCAAGATGATTCTGTTTGGGTATGAAACAATTTTGGGATTGTGCAAGATTTCTTAGTTTTGGGGCCGTTGGCATTTCTACAATCGTTTTGAAGATACCCTCATAGAGCTCCCTTAGCTTCCTGTTTCATGTTCGAATGTGATTGGACAGAACCAGCCCAGTGGCTCAACAGATTAATCCCACACCTACAAGTGCTGGCATTCCATATGGGTGCCAGTTCGTGTCCTGGCTGCTCCACATCCCCTGTGGCTCCCTGCTTGTGGCCTGGGGAGGCAGTGGAGGATGACTCAAAGCATGGCATCTGCACCCATGTTGGACACCTGGAAGAATCCCCTGGCTTCTTTCTTCTGGCTTCAGGTTGGCTCAGCTCCGACATGTTGAGGCCATTTGGGGAGTAAACCAGTAGACAGAAGGTCTTTCTTTCCCTGTTTATATTTCTCACTGGAAATCTACATTTCCAATAAAATATTTTTTAAAGATTTTTATTTTTATTGCAAAGTAAAATATACAGGGAGGATGAAGGATAAAGAAGATCTTCCATCCACTGGTTTACTCCCCAAGTGGCCCCAACAGCTGGAGCTGAGCTAATCCAGAGCCAGAAGCCAGGAGACTCCTCTGGGTCTCCCACGCGGGTGCAGGGTCCCAAGACTTTGGGCCATCCTAGACTGCTTTCCCAGGCCACAAGCAGGGAGCTGGATGGGAAGCAGGGCTGCTGGGATTAGAACTGGTACCCTTATGGGATCCTGGCTCATTCAAGGTGAGGACTTTAGCCACTAGGCTACTGCACTGGGCCCTCCAATAAAGATTAAAATTTTAATTAAGGAAAAATGATTGGGCAACCAGAGGTCATTGGCTAGTTGAAGAAAATAACTGCATGAATTCCAAAGACCAAGAAAAAACAACAAAAATGTGGCCCTGGCAGAAAATGGAGATAATTGTAGAATTCTGTGTGCAAGCTGTCAACTAAGTATATGGGTAAAATGAAGTAATTTTGATACGTGGAAGAACTCAGGAATTGTACTTGCCATGTGTCCATTCTGTGAGAATCACAGAGCAAGGATGGCATCGAGAAGGAGTGAGGTCAGTGCAGCAGGTCCTGGCTGCCTTTGTCCTGCGCCCCAGTCCTCCCTGTCATGACAGCTGTGTAGCTGGCCTGAGGCCTGAGCTCACTGGAAGTGCAAAGGGACAGGTGGCCTCCCAGAAGTGGAGGAGTCAGGCTGAGGCCGTGGTTGGAAGATAGGCGCCAAATTGAAGGGCTACTGCAGCCTTTAAAAGAAGCAAAACAGGACACGACCATCACACAGAACCCACACAGGGAAGTTGCAGTTCAAATATGAGAACTCGGTGTGGAAGAAGAGTTGATGCAAGGCTGGGGGCATGGAGGAGAGAGTCCTATTTTAAAAGAGCCATTAATAAATCATTTTCATTGAGCAGCAGAGAGAGCAAGTTGCCATCTGTGAATTTGCTTGCACATGACTTGTAACTGCCAAGATTGAGGCAGGATGAAACAAGGAGCCTGGAACTCCATCCAGGTCTCCCACAAGGGTGGCTGTAAACCCGTCACTCGAGCCATCACTGCTACCTCCCAGGGACTGCAATGTCAGGAAGCTGGAAAAAGAGTAGGCAGTAGAACTTAGCACTCTGGTATGGGAGGATTGCCTGCTGTTCCAAATGCCTTTTACTTCCAGTGTTATCCAGGGATCAGCTTTGTTACAAGTCACTTAGTGGGCACATGCTATGTGCTCAATGCTGCATTAGTTATTGTGGGAGACAAGAACCCAAGGACTTACAAGACAGCCGTGCACACACCTACCATCTGGGGAGAAGATTGCATGTCTCGTGAGAACTGGACAACCAAGACAGAGGCAATCAGGAGCCCATGGGAGATTATCTGCAGGGTGCAGTTTGCTTAATCCCTGCACCACGTCTGCATGTGGGCAGTTCCACATGCTGGGCACAGTAGTGGGGAGAAAGACAAAAGGATGCCTGCTCCCACCTGTCCTACACTCAAGACCATGATGACCAACAAAGTGATCATTCCAGGGACCGTGAGGGATGAAGGAGAAAGTGAAGTGACCTCACAGACTGAGCCCAGGATAGTGACCAAGGGGAGTAATGTCTTAGAAGGGACAATAATTGAGGAAGAGCCAGCCAGGTGAGGAATTCAGGGCAGAGATCTCCAAGTAACAGGCTGACAATGCATTCCAGCAATAGAGGCAAGCAGGAGCAAAGCCTGGCCCAGATGGTTTTATTCCGAGCATAATGGTGGGATTGGGTGGGACCCTTGGTCATGGGTCCTCTCACCCAGCCCCATCCTGGTAACGGCCGAGAAAAGTCCCGTAAGTTGTAAACCAGGGGAAGTCAAGCGACCCTGCAAAGGGAAAAGGCAGTGGTGCTCCGTGGTGTGTCTCTTACACGCACACCCCCTGGTGTGGCCAGCCAAGCAGGGTCCTGTGCAGGCTGGGAATGTGCAGGCTGGTGTGCGGCAGCCCATGACTGGGGGATGGGATTTCAGTGAGTAGCCGGCTCGCTAGGATCGTGTGAGACAACTGCAATTGTGCGGAGTTTCCCTGGGCTTGGTCGTCTTGCTCCCTTGCAATGCCAAGACTCATAAATGCAGTCGTTAAGGCTCCTCTCACACTCAGAATGAATGACTCCAATTGTATTTTATAGTAGCTGCCATTACACACACACACACACACACACACACACACACACACATCCCTGCCAAGAACATCCCCCCCTTTGCTTGTACTGACTGTGGCGGAGGAAGAAGAGACTGCCCCAGCAGCTCCACTTGGCTGCTGCCCTTTGGGGCAACGGATTTGCCGCTGTTCAGACACAGACATCTCCCACGTGCCCGGCCTGCAGACGTAAACAGCGCCAGGTGGGCTGGGCAGAGCTCACAGGCCTGCCAGCACCCGGGGCACTACAGGCTTAACGTCAAGAGCCACCCCGAGTGTTTCCGTCTTTGCACCTGACCTGAAATGCCTCGTCTTCAGGGCTGGGGTGGCTGTCTGGACCAAACTGAGTGTTTACTAAGAGGCCCTGGCAGCTGATTAGTCAGGATCCCCTGACTGGAGTGCAGAAACAGGAGCCAGGCACAGAGCCAGAGACTGTTAGCAAGCAAGGGTGTGGTTTAGAAGTCATAGCTAAGGAAGACACAGAGCTGTGTGATGATAGGAGGTCACGCAGGGACAGGCACAGGTGACACGCAAGAGGCCAGTTGAGAGGCCAGCCTCACCCTGTCAGCATGAGGCTTCAGAAAGTCTGTGGGAGACACTCCTCACGAAAACTTTGCAATCCTTGGGTTTCCATGGGCTTCTGTTTTTCTCACCAAAGTCATCTTGCTTCTCCATTCTGTTTCTTCCAAACTTTTGGAAGCCCTTTGATCTCCTCGGGAGAGCTCATGCCTGTGCAGGAGTTCTCGCACTATATCCTGGAGCAGCGGCATCACTGGACTGGTGCTCATTAGAATCCCAGATTCCCAGGCCCACCCAGTCCTTCTCAGCCAGTGACACTGGGGCTGGACTTCTGCTGCTTTGCTGAGTCAGCCTCCTGTGGCTCACAGGGACACAGGTTCAAGTTGGAGAACCCCCGCCCTGGGTTCTTACTCCGCTGGGGAGCAGTGGGCTGGTATGTCCTCGGGGAACCCAGAGTTCACCAGCTTTGCTCCAAGCCCCTCCTTGGATCTCAGAACTTTGTATTTGAAAAAATCTGGGAGATGGGGGGTACTGGCGACCAAGTGCCTGCTGAGACATGGGCCCATACCAACCCTGCCATAATGAGCCTTGGTTTCCCCACCATAATGTCGTAGGTGGTATGGATTGAGACTGTTGTGTCAGCCAGGGCACAAGTAACTGCACAGCCCCAAGAGGACTCCAAGTGGGCTGTGGCCGTGCCTGGGCAGAGGTGGTGCTGGTGACTTTAGTCCCAGGGAATCGGCCTTGCTGCTGGCCCAGGGTCCCTCCCTCAGGCAGTGTGCTGCCTTCCCCGGCTCCTCTCCTCCGTACCACCACTGAGAAGTGCATTTGATAGTTACATGGGTAAGAAGACAGACTGGATTTTCTCCATTTGTTTCCTGTTGATTTGGGGAAACATTAAAATCTTCCTTTTAAGGTATCCACAGCCCCAGACTCCAGGCCTCATGGGTATCTCCCTTTGAAGCCCATGGGAATCATACACACACACTTAACCTGACTCTCTGGTTCCCTAGAAAATCGGCTGTGATGGCATCATCGGATCTGCAGCCAAAGAAGACCGCTGTGGCATCTGCAACGGGGATGGCAAGACCTGCCGCGTGGTCAAGGGTGACTTCAGCCACTCCCGGGGCACAGGTAAGCTGCAAGCTGCCAGACCACCTGCACCTGCTGTGCTTTCTCTCCTGGGTCCAAAGATGAATGCTTGCAGAAATTCCCTGGCTGTCCTGTTTAAGGTCAGGGTGGCCTGGCACTCCCGTTTCATTCCTGAGAACCCAAGGGCCATCGAGGCAAGGATGACAGCCTTGGGTTTCTAGGAGCAAGCAGGTTGTCGTGCAGGGTATACCATCTGGGATTTGAATGCCTTGACACTTTGTTCTTGAAGCTACTCCACACATCCTCAGTTCTTGAAGGAACGGGGGTGTGGCGTGATCTACCCCCTTCTGGCTGTAGCTGCATGTAGGGGCCACAGAATGAAGAGATAATTGTATTGGGTACAGAGATGTCACAGCTGTGCCTTTTTTGCTCCAAACAGGCATTTTCCATGAGCTTGTTAGAGACTCCCCCCTCCTATTTGTTCAGCAGTTGCCTTCAGCACCCCTGTCCTGTGCCCGGTTCACCATCTCTAGATGCAGGATATGAATGCACCATGGGAAACTCGCTGTTTTGTACTAATGAGTCCTGTGTGGCCTCTGTGTGCTGTGTTCAAGAATGACAGTCTCCTCTCCCAGATGCCCAAGCAAGCAAACCGATTGCAGCCTGCTGCTTTTTCTCAGCCAAGGGCAGTCTTGGTGCGGAGGTGTCTGCGTGAGCTGTTCCCAGGTGTTTGGTGTAAGATATTCAGATACAGTGGTGTGGGGTCCCAGTGGTGCCGTGTGCTCAGGCAGGGCTGCATCCTCACTTGCCTGCAGAGGGATTCTGATTCACTGATGGTAGTGATTCATGCTGGAGGCCATGGAACCCAAAGGCCGTTGTTCGTGTACTTGTCTATAACTGGTGTTGGACTGATTGCTGAAACCCCTTGGCGGGTGGAAGGGATGAAAAATGGTAGGACGAGGGGTCTGAAGGCAAGTGTGTCACACTGACCACGGGTTGGGTTTTGTCCTCCTCAGACACATCAGGTACCTGGCAGAGGATAACAAGTTGTGCTGGAGAACTTGGCCTCAATTGACCCCTTCCTCCCTGGGGTGGTGGGTCTCCTTAAGGGCAGGGTGGAAGGAGGGGGAGGTACTGGGTGAGAAGGTACAAGCTGTAGCTTTGATTTTGACTTAACACTAAGAGCTAAGCTAACTAACACATGGACTTCCCAATTATGAGTTCTTTCCGATTAGACCTGGGTATAACCTTCACTGATCAACCTAAAATGATCAATCCAGATGGTCCCTGACCAGATGGTGCATCAGCTCCTCAATTCTCGCCTTTATTATAATGCCAAAACTGTACTCAAGCAGTGCAAATTGTACTTCAGAACTTGGAGTCTCATCTTTGGCTGGCCTAGAGATCCTGCCACCCAACCTTCCTTGGCCATGGTGGGCAGTGTCTGCTAGTGCAGCCTTGGGCAGTGCTGCAGTCACCAGGGGAACCCCCAAGACGCTGCAGTGGGCTGTGCAGCTCAGTGAGGGGTGTTGGTGCGTTGCCCATCTATGATTCAGAACTTTTTACGTGGGAGGCAGTGGCTCTGAGAGAAGGGAGAGAGAGAGACAAAGAACACTCCAATCACCGATTTACCTCCCAAATGCCTGTTGTGTCTGGCCTGCCTCAGCCCAGGGGTGGGAGCTGGGAGCTCACTCCAGGTCTCCCACATTGGTGGCAAAACCCAGTCAGTTGATGCCTCATCACTGCCTCCCATCACGTATTCCAGTGCGAAGCTGCCGTTAGGAGACAGAGTAGGAATCGAACCCAGGTTTTCCAGTGTGGCATGTGGGCGCCTTAGCCACTGACCTACACGTTGGCCCTCCCCAGTTCATGAAATTGTCAACTTATGATGGGTTTACCAGTGGTTGCCATATTGTAACTTAAGTACATCTGTGTTTTCATAAACACCTTTTATAGACAGAGCAAAACATAAACACACCACAGACTCTTTCAACATTGTATGATTTGTTTACAAAAAAAATAACTTTGAAAATTTTCCCCTTTATTTGATACAACCTGGGAAAGGAGGACACATTGTCAGCATTTTCCCTCCGCTCCATCTTGGGCACCACCTCATCAGCTCAATGATTTTCTTCCAAAAGTAATTAAATGCTACTTTAAGAAAAGGAAAATAGGACTCCCGAGTCATTGAAAAGCAAGGCTGTTCACGGAAGTTGTTTCCCAGTGTCAAGAGCCTGGGAAGTTTGAGACAAGTGACACATCAAGGTAACTTTGACGTCCTTCTGGTGCTGGTCCTTTGGGCAGAAGTGAGGCGTTCCCACAGCAGGGGCGTCAGATGTTCTCCGTGGCTTCTTCATCCCACACCAGGTCATGTCCCTCTGGCTGGGTTCTGGATGTCTCCCACCTGATGGCTGAGATGGGAATGAAAACTTACTCCAAGAGGTGTCACCATTTCCAGGCATGTGTCACCACTCAGATTCCCATGATCACACAGGTTCTAGGAGAGAAACATGCTCCTACCTCATTCCCTGGAGGAGGACTGCAGATACGTGGTGTCTAGCAGCACAGCACAGCACAGCACCCGTCACAAATGCTTCTGCCTGCCAATGTGAAACCTCAGCTGCAGCCAGCCTGACGCTGGGCAGACAGATCCCACCTGGGCACCCTTGGATGAGAAAGAGTCACACCGACAGGGAAAGAGCCAGGTCACCTGAGAATGTGGTCCATGCAAAAAGCAAGGTAGCTCATGTATCCAAAGGCCAGAATCCTCAAAATGATAGGTGTGAACTCATGGGAATGCCCTGAGAAGGAGCCACTGAGAACGAGGAGCTCTCAAAAAGCAATACAACTCTCAGATGAAAAGCAGGTCATAGAAGCATCCGAAACAAAGCCAGTGGTAGTGGACAAAGGCATTGCAACACGCTTCATGAGCATTTGAGTCCAAAATAAATTAAATATGTACTAATATATTTGTATGCTAATATGTATATAAGATTTATTTATTTGGAAAGGCAGATGTACAGAGAGGAGGAGAGAGAACGAAAGAGCCTCCATCCACTGGTTCACTCCTCAAGTGGTCTCATAGCCAGAGCTGAGCTGAGCCAAAGCCAGGAACCCAGGAGCTTCCTCCAAGGTCTCCCACGCGGGTGCAGGGTCCCAGGCCCTGGGCCATCTTCAACTGTTTTCCCAGGCCATAGGCAGGGAGCTGGATGGGAAGTGGAGTATCCAGGATATGAACTGGTGCCCACATGGAATCTTAGAGGGTTGCAAAGCAGGGATTTATCCACTAGGCCATTGCACTGGGCCTGCTAAAATATATTTTTAAGCTGTTGTGTATCAACGAAATAAAAACAAAGTAGCAGGTGAGCAGAATTGAAGAGGAAGGCCATTGATGGAAAAAGAGAAGCAGATGGACCAGAGGTGACACAGTGAGCATCTTGGTAATGAGTGAAATGCAGTATAAATCCTTGAGGGGCCATTTCTTCTCCTATTATCAAACCTTAAGATGGTTGATTATTTTTTTAAATGCTTCTCTCCTAATTTGCCATTCCTCCTGGTTTTTTTTTTATCATTTTTAAATTATTATCATGACATAGTGCTTAAATTCCTGCATGTGCTACTTGTTGTTGATAAGCTTTACAACAACTGGTTTGAATTCTGTACCCCCTTTCCTTGATGTCTTCCTCAGTTACCTCTCAGGTTGGCAAAGGCTTTTGCTCCTTTGCAGGGGAGTCTTTAATAATATTCATTGTGCCTCTGTCCCATCTTTTGCTGTTTATCATTGTACTTCTGGTTATTCTCCTTGGGGCAGGTTTCTAAGCTGTGTCACCCACAGGTCTACAATTTGATTTGACTTATTGTGATTGGTACATGGTTCTTTGTTTGCAATCACTTGTACCACTCCCTCCAGAGAGTTTTAGATTTGGGCTCTTATGTTAGACTTCCATCATGGTCTGTGAGGCCCCAGCCCTGGGACTCCAGTCCCAGGCTCAGCACTCTCCACCTCCTGTGATCTCATGCTAAGGCTGCACTGTCGTCTGTACAACCTTTCTTCCACTTTCTGTTAGAGCAGTTTTCAGGATAGGGAGACACTAGGTGTCCCAAACAGGTTGTTGGTGGCACTGATCTTGTTGGAACCTGCTGGCCATTAGGTCCGAGGGCCGCATGGACCTATTTTGAGTTGTAAGATGCCAAAATCAGTATTATTTTCGATGTGGGACCATTGCAATGCACTGAATTCAGTGAGTTCGCTCCCAGCTCAGCACATGCACAGCTCATTGTTGTCCCTGTATTCTCAAAGCCTTTGCCACACTGTACAAAATGGCAGCTGATGTGCCATTGGTGGGGTTCTTGATCTGCTGGCCATTAGGTCTGGGAGCTACTCCAACCTGTATTGGGTGGAATCCATAGGATGCCATGTCATTACAATTCACTGAGCCAGAAATGAGTTCACTCCAAGCTTAGTGCATGCACAGTCCTATACCGTAGTTTTTGCCTCCCTACATAAGATGGCGCCTGATTTGGCTTTACTGGGGTTATGGGCTGTGAGAGCCACCCTGTTCCCACACTCCTTGTTTGGGGTCTGCTGCTCTGTGCCTGCTCCTGGTCAAATCAAACAAACCCACAGGACTGGCAGCTTTTCTCTGGGTTCACTTCCTGAGTTGCTGGTGAGCTCCCCTTCCCACATGGTTCCTGCTGGAGCTCAGATCACAACTGGCTGAATGCTGCTGGGGTATTGGTCACTGCAGCACCAGTGCTCCACTGCTTTCCTATGTCCATCAGTCTCCAGGTGCCCCTCTGCTATTGGTCTGTCCTCTCCTGGTTCCTGGAATTTGCCCTCTCTGCTTCACACTGGCTAATGTTTCTCCATCTGTGTAAATATGTCCTTACCTTGTTCTGCTGTCCTGATTCTCCTGAAGTTGGTTGATTATTTTACGTATGTAGGTGCCTGTAGGTAAACACGTGCTCTCGCAAGGCTGGTTGACTTAGACAAAGAGTTCATCAAAAATGTGCATTAAGAGAAAACCGTGTGTGATCTTCAAGACAGTGTTTGCACCAAAATGAATATGTATTTCAATTCCATGTTTCAACAGACTTTTGACACTGCTTCATATTGGTAAAAGCAGTCTAGAGGACAATGTAGCAGTACCTTGCGCATTGAAACAATTTTTGTATTTGACTTGACTTCCACCATAGTTGACTCAGCAGACCTTCATCTCTGTACATGAGAAGACACATTAAAATTAGCCCTGTTTGCATCTGCAGTCGGGTAGGTTAAGTGCAACAGGTTCATCAGCACGTGGACGAAATGGAGTAATCGCTATCACCATCCTATGCCCATCACTCCAGTCCCAGGCAACTACTAATTTAAATTCAGAATATGACTTGGCCAGCACTGGACAGTTTGCATAAGTGGAATCACACAATAGATGGTCTCTTGTGACTGGTTATTTTCAGGATTCATCCATGTCTTACCATATATCTGTATTTCATTCTTTTTATTTTCAAATGTTATCCCATAGTGTTTAGATAGACTTATTGAATGTATTTAGTTGATGGATATTTGGGCTGTTTCCACTTGTAAGCTATTTTGCATAATGTTGCACATTTTCTGCACATTTTTCTGCACAATGTGCACAAATCTGCACATTTTCTGTGGATATAGGTTCCTGACTATGGAGTGTCTAGAGTGGAATTGATGTGTCACACAGCTGTGTTGTGTTTAACTTGTGGAAGAACAGCCAGGCCCTTAGTCAGGGACCTGCACCATTCTGAATGTCTACGTACGGGCAGGTGCGGGGACTTCTCTGCTGCTCTCCAGCCTGTTTCTTCTTCTCCTGCTTCCCCATGCTCGTGGGTATGAAGAGCATCTCCTTGTGGTTCTGATTTGCATTTTGCTAATGATCCCAGGCATCTTTTCAAGTGCCTGTTGACTATTCACATGTTGTCTTTGAAAGAATGTCTATGGAAATTCCTGGCACATTGTTAACTTATATTATTTCTTATTTGCCTTACCACACTCTGGATTCGTTCTTTCTCAGGTAATGACCTGGAAGTATTTTTTCTACAACATAAGATAGTTGCTCTTTGTTTCTCTGGATAGTGTTCTCTGAAACAGGAAGTTTTGAATCATGCGGTAATCCAACTTATCTGTTTATTCATCCATTACTTGTCTATTTGGTGTCATTTGCAAGAAACCATTACTTAATGCAGGGTTTTAAAGACTTACTCCCATGTACTCCTCTAAGAATTTTATTTGCTACATTTCAGTATAATCCTAGTTGAGGTTTGTTTTCTTCTAGTCTGGTCTTAAATAGGAATTTTTTAAAGATTTATTTTATCTTTTACTAGAAAGGTAGATATACAGAGAGGAGAGATAGAAAGAAATATCCTCCATCTGTTGGTTCACTCCGTAAGTGGCCACAACAGCTGAAGCTGAGATGATCTGAAACTAGGAGTCAGGAGCCTCTTCCAGGAGCCCATGTAGATGCAGAATCCCAAGGCTTTGGGCCATCCTCCACTGCCCTCCTGGGACACAAGCAGGGAGTCTGATGGGCAGTGGAGCAGCCGGGACACAAACCAACACGCTTGTGGGATCCCAATGGATACAAGGCAAGGAGTCAGCCACTAGGATATCGTGCTGGGCCCTGAAATAGGAATTTGAGTTCATTCTTTTCTGTGTGGATATCTGGTTATCCTAAGGATCAGATGACTCATAGAGCAGTCTGAGGGAATGTGAGAGTGACCCCAAGCCTTCAGGCCAGCCAGTGGGACAGCAAGCGTAAGGAAAGTGAGCCTAGCGGTTTGCATTGTAGTTCAGGAAACATGATTCTCACAAGCCAGTCTCCAAAGGAGCAAACTTGGGACAAGTAATGTATTGAAGAACTTGGGGAAAAAGTAAAAAAGCAGGCAAAACACGTAACAAGCAGTAAATTCATTCTTACAGTGAAGACAAGAGCAGCTGCAGGAGTAGCCTCAGCCAAAGGCAGTGTGGGAACAGTGTGTGGAAATGGCGCAGCCGAAGGTGAAGTGGACTGTGAGAAGGTGTGCTGCTGTAAGGCTGCTGACTTCCTCATCTCTTAGTATCCAAAGGCTGAAATATCTCACCACTGAAAAGTCAAATAACAAGCGTGAATATCAATCTTACAACACTAGAATGGAACAGAAATGGTAACTGGCTGAAATGTGTTTGTGGAGGGAGGACATAGTGCAATGAGGCATAGACAGCATCACCCTTTGCTCAGCTAGGGGATGAACATGGAGTGGAAAGTTCACATTTGTAGAAAAATAAGTGAAATATATAGAAAAAGTAGGGTCTGATGTGGTGACTCAAGATAGCGTCTCTGTGGCCAAGTGGTTTATTCTGGGACTCTGAAGATGGCTTGCTATTAGGAATATATTAATATAATGAAGTCATGGTCAGAGCAAGAGGAAATAATCACGTGCCTAGATGCTGAAGAAGGAATAGTGTAATTTAGTTTGTAATAAAACTCTTCATATGGTAATGTATGCTTCCTTAACATAATGATGCCATGCATAGTATAAAATATGATATCATGTTATAATGCTAAAGAACCATGTAAGTAGCCCTGAATCTGCATTTTATTCAGAAGCCAAACAGCAGCTGCATTAGGAACACAGGCCATACAATCTGACAAAATGTATTTTTGGTGCATCTCTGCTTGCTGGATCCCATGGAGTTCTCCCCGTGTGCATGTCTCTGTCCACACATCTCCTAGAGGGACTGCTTTCCTGTTGGATTCAGGGCCCGTTCTCCCCAGTAGGACCCCATCGTAACAAACTTATCCACAGTGGCCCTGAATCTAAATAAGCTCACAGAGTGAGGTCTGGTGGGTCAGGACTTCAGTATTTGTACTTAGTGGGGTTGGGGGCATGATCCTGTCCCTAACATGCCATGGCATTCACTGGGAACTGGATGGCAAGGAGGTTCTGACCTCACCTTGATCCTTAGCCCACCATCTCTGAAAGCACCCCAGGGCCTGAAGGTGGAGGATGGGGCTGGAGAAGGGCAGATAGGGTGAGGGGAGTTCCAGCTGCAGAGGGGAGAGTCCTAACCTGCATGTTCTTTGTGACCACAGGTTACATTGAAGCCGTTGTTATTCCTGCTGGCGCCCGGAGGATCCGCGTGGTTGAGGATAAACCTGCCCACAGTTTTCTGGGTAATGTTCCATGATCTGACTCTTCATTATGCTCTGAGAGTTTGTTTTGGTGATCAGCTTTCCACTTGTACTTTTAACTAGAGACCAAATGGTGCCATCATTTTTTGGCTGACATGGAGATGGGAACTGGAAAGAGTTGGGACTGCTACCCTTGCGCAGGAAGGAATGTGGCATAGAGCCGAGGAATTGGCATGTGTCTTGGAAGCATAGATCCACAGAATCACCCCAGCAGAGCCGACAGTAGCCCTGGCGGCACAGGACCATCACTCAGTGGGTGGAATTCCTAGTGGCCAGCTCCACTGACATCCAGCTTCAGCTTCCGCAGATTGGACAGATCCCAGCCCATTCTTTGTTGCTTTCTGCAACTCCATGGTTAGAGGCCACAAGGACTCATTCGTGTAAGCCCCTCCCTTGGCAGAGAGGAACCTCTGAGTATATTCTAGGCCCCTTTCCCACCTCACTAGAGGTCAGCGCAGTGCTCAGACCCTGGGGTGCAGAGATGGCACATATGTGCTATTTACACAGACACAGGAAGCAAGGGGGACCTGCGGCTGCCTTTGCTCAGGTTCACCTGGGGTGGAATATGCAATGCCCCATGGCCCACTGCCAGGTTCCTGGGTCAAGTTTCAAGCCGGTAGTGTGTGATCTGGGTGCCCCTCCTGGACCTTCAGGTTAGGGTTTCCCTTCCCTTGTGGCAAGGTGCCATCTGACTCAGGAAAAAAGGGAAGGGGGAGGAGAGGAAGGGAAGATGTGGCTGCTCTGGTTTCAGACTGTTTGGGCCAAATGGTAGTTTCCCACAAAACCCTTTATGTCAACTTTTACGACAGGCAAGAAAAAACAAAAACCTACATCTCTGTAAAGACTACACAAAATGCCCAACTTGTTCTTTGAAATATTCTCTACTCAAAAATCTAACAAGATAGCCACAGGACAAAGTTCGAAAGGCAAGCTTCCCAGGAGGCTGGCGGTTCCCCACTGACGAGGAAACACTGAAGATGTGATGTGGCTCTCTGCTCGCCTGCTGCAGGAGGAAGGGCAGGTCCCCTCCCAGGTCCCCAGGCAGCCTGCCATCTCTCCCACCACTTAGTCACCTGCTGCCTACCAGCCTCTTGTGCTGCCAGGGCATGGCCTGGTCTGGCCCTCAGGTCAGCGCCCACGTGGCTCTGCAGCACCCCACCGTCTCCCCTGCTTCTCCCAAGGGACTCTGTCCCAAGTGAGTCTGAGCCACTCCTCCCCAGCCGGTCCAGTTATCACTCCCCAGATGGGACTGAGCTAGCAAATTTGGTCTCCAGGGCCTTGTGCCGCTTGCTGCATCAAGTTCTCACTCTCTTGTCCTGCTGAGGAAGATGGAAATGGAAATAGGAAGCCCCATCCCTAGATGTCACCTCCAAAGTCACCTGTCGGTGCCTTAGGAAGGCGTGTCCCTACTGGGGAATGAGGAAGCTGATGTCATCTTCAGCTCTGTTAGTCAAAGAGCCCCTGGTTGGTCCCAGAGCTGGCTCAGTGCTGCTGTCCCATGCTGGCGTTCCCAGTCCTGTGGGGTTGTAGTCCTGGCTTCTGAGACTTCCCAGCACCATTCCTGGCCTGACCTCAGGCTCCGAGGGCTGGTGACAAGGACACGGTTTCTTTGTCTTTGCTTTCCTTCAGCCAAGTGAGGGAGACGGAGGATGCGCCAGCCCCTGCAGACCTGCAGCCTCGAGTCCTGGTAGTGAACAGGAGCTCCTCACAGGGGCACACTTTGGGGCCAAGCACAGACTTGTGGGTGCTCTTGTCACCGCCCCCCCCCCCGTACACCCCTAAAGCAACCGTGCAGAGTGACATCAACACGGCATGACTGAGTCCCAGTTGCTGAGCCTGGCTGGGCTTGTGTAGCCACGCACTGTCCACACTTGTCCATGGGGCGTGTGCACTGAAGCTTCCCCCACTCCTCTGAGTGTCCTGCTCTGGGGCCCTCGGCCACTGCCACGAGCCAGCCGATGGAAAAGGCACGTGAACTCTGCCCATCCCCCTTGCTCATGCAGAAGTCTGCAGCCTGGTGGTGCAGACCTGGGCATGGCAAAGAGCAGCCAAAGGTAGTTCCCACCCACTGCGTTGTTCACGGGAGCTCTCTCTCTCAGGCCTGGTCTCCAGCCGGGCAGGGATGCTTTGCGAGCCAAGCCCAAGGAACCCAACTCACTCTCACATTTGCTGGGAGCAGTTCCAGAAGAATCTGCCATACCTCCCTCCCTCCAGCCCACGCTGGCTGGCTCACTGACTCACAACCACCTGGGACAGGAAATGCCTCTGCCTTCGTTTCCATGGCAAAGCGCAGAGCTGGCAGGTGGCCAGTATGGGAAATACAGGGACTGACTGGCTGCCAGGGAAAAAAGTGGGTTCACAGTAGGTCAGGCCTTCCAGCTGAGAGAGAGAGTCCTGGGGCAGGGGCCAGGCCCTCCAGCCAGGAATACCCCCTCTTCCTCTAGGACTCAGCTCCCAGGTCTCCCCCACTATGCCTGAGATAGCAAGGGTGGTAGAGATGTCCCCACAGAGGAGCGTGGGCCCAGGATGGACAGAGTCATGGGACACATGGCCTCATGTCGCAGGCCACTTGCATTTTTCTTGGCTGTGGTCGCACAAGAAAGTGAACCTGTTCACGCTCAGATGGTGGATGCTGGTTTCGAACATCCAACCTCTGGTCTCGGCAGAACCCACACGGGCCCAGCCTCTTGGCCGGCACAGCTGAGCTGCCAATGTCCGAGGCGTGTGGGGCACTTGCAGTGTTGTCAGCATCCGAGTCACCCCCAGCAGGACTTCTTCAAGTGCACAATTCCTGACTGCTAAGGCAGGTGCTGGATCTCAGCACGCTTGTGAAGGAGTTATACGGACACTGAGAGCTGAGGCTGAGCTGAGAGTCCAGAAGGAACATGGCTCACGGCAGGCAGGTGGAGAGCAGCCAGAACATCTGCTCTGTTTCTAGGCCTTCCTTGGCACACTGCAGCATCTGTCCTGACACCGTAAGCTAGGGAGAATGGACATTGGGTAGGCACAGCGGGCAGGTGCACTGGGCTTGGTCCATCGAATTGTGTCTTCACAGCCTTATGACTTCCAGCAAGTTATCCAACTTCTTCGTGTCCCATGCCCTCCTCTGTGACCTGGGGAAAGTTGTACCCAGGCTTCCTGGGAGATCCAGTGGCCAAGAGGGTGTGAAGGTGCTGAATCTGGAGACAGCGCCTCCTAAAGGGTGGTAGGCAGCTGGTGGTGGCAGGAGCTGGGAAAATGGAGAAATTGTGGGTGTCCCCCGTTCTCACCTACCTTCAGGAGTCAGAAGCGCCAGTCCCAGATAGGGAATAGGCACGTTTCCAGTTGGTGGCACCATCTCTCCCCTCAGCCTGGCTGCGTCCTATCCTCCTCACCTCGTCCCTGTCCGCAGTGACTGGGCGGAGTCATGCCATGGGAACACGTGTGTGAGTTGTTCTTGGCACAGCAGCTGGAAGGGGGTGCCATCAGTCCCCGCAGGTGTGTCCTGGGAGCCCGGAATGCTGTGAGCCAGGTCTCTGTGTCAGTGACCCCCTGCTCACATGCCACGCCTCCCTCTGACTCACTGGGGACCCCATGACAGTCAAGCTGGACCCCTGACTCCTGGCGTGCACTGTGTTCCCCGCAGCTCTCAAGGATGCCAGTGAGAGATCCATCAACAGTGACTGGAAGATAGAGCTGCCTGGAGAGTTCCAGATCGCTGGCACCACAGTCCGCTATGTGCGCAGGGGCTTGTGGGAGAAGATTTCGGCCAAGGGACCCACCAAGATGCCACTGCACCTCATGGTACCTGCCTGGGGCTGAGTGGCTCCGAGAGGCCCAGGGTGTCGTTCTGGGTTTGCACTTGGCATTCAGCTCCTGGGATGGGTAGCAGGACCCCCGTAGGTGCTCATGTGTGCCCTCTGCTCGCTCTCCACCTTCTCTTATCTCTCCTACTGCATGATTGACTTATTTATGGGAAAGGTGGGATTAGAGGTCTTCTAACCACTGGTTCACTCCCCAGATGGCTGCCACTGCTGGGCCTGGGCCAGGCCAAAGCCAAGAGCCAAAAGCTTCTTCCGAGTCTCCCGCATGGGTGCAGGGGGCCTAGGAATTGAGTCACCCTCCACTGATATTCCAAGTGCATCAGCAGAAAGTAGGGTCAGAAGTAGAGCAGCTGGGACACAACCAGTGATTATATGGGATACTGACGCCACAGCAGCAGCTTTGCCTGCCACAGACAGCAAGGCCAGCCCCTCCTGTCACTTTCCAGAAGGAACTACTCCAGGAGGGGCTGCTCAGCTGTGCCAGGAGCAGCCAGGAGATTTAGTGCTGTCAGACAGCCTGTCTGTCTGTCAGAGTGTGGGGCACAGCCTGTGTGTGCAGAAGAGAGATGCACTTCTGGCTCCATGGCCAAAGTGTCTCCAGGTTCAACCTGCAGCAGGCACTGGGTTCTGCCACCCGTTCAGTGCAGGTTGATCAAGACTCCGTGCAGGGCACCTGGCCCAGCCACCATGGGCTTGCCTATTGTCTCAGCGAGGACTCTGGGAGGCCACTGGTTCCTCCTCGCTCCTCCTCTTAAACAAAGATCCTAGCAAAAGGGATGTACTCTCCTCACCAAGGTCTAGGAGTTGATAACCAGCTTCTGATCGCTCCTGATTCTTGATCGTTATTGACTTGAGTCAGTCCAAAGCAACGTGTGTCCCTGGGGTCAGAGCTCACCTTGGCCTTGATGCCCAACAGAGTGAGGCCTGTGACTACCCCTGCTCTCTACCCCTGTCGCTGTCCATCTCGGGTCTCTGGCACTCCACAGCTGTCCAGGTCTAGCTGACGCTCAGATTTCCTGGCCACCACCCCTTCTGCAGCGGTCAGCTCTACCTGTGGACAGCGGTGCTCAGCATGGGTGATCACACCAACCCATTACAGTTTCTTATGCAACAGAAGCCATACAGATATCAGCCAGGGTGGGTATAGCAGGTAAAGCTACCCAGTGCCGTGCTGCCATCACATATGAATGTCAGTTTCAGTCTCACCCTGCTGGTGTGCCTGGAGGAGCAGCAGCGGATGGCCCAAGCACTTGGACACCTGCACCCATGTAGGAGACCTGGATTTGGCTTTGGCCTGGCCCAGCCCTGGTCATTAAGGCCATTTGGGGAGCGAACCAGCTGATGGAAAGGATAAGAGGAGCATGGGAAACATCGCCTGTGTGTCTTTCTCCAGCAAGTGCCAAGGGTGAATGCATTTCCTTATGTACCCAGAGCTCATGACCTCTGAGCAAGCCATAGCCATGAAAGCTGGGACACAGCAGGTCCATTCAGGCCACGGTAACCGTGACCCAGAGCGCATGGCAACTGTTAGGACCAGGTTTCTGTTTCTCTGCAAGTCGGACTGACACTTGAGGTTCTTACACCTGCGAGTGAGAAGTGGCTCTTGGCCCCCATATGGAAGGCCACTGCCCCACAGCGGGGACACACGTGGCTGGCGGGGCCGAGAGGGACCTGTGGCTTCAACACTGCATGAAACTGGTTTTGTGTGGATTCTCTTACCTGTCTTATTCCCAGGCTAAGATCTCCTGTAAAGACTAGTATAAAGAAAAAACCAAGCTGGAGGCATTCTCCCAGATGCGTGCCTGCAGGCCTGTTTGCTGGTGAGCGGGGAGGGTGTTTATGCAGTGGAGTCTGCTCGTGGCACCCCCTCTGCACCCCGCAGCTCAGCATTGGAATGAGAGATGCTCTGGATGGAAGCTGGCTCCCACTGTCTGACGCACTCTCCCCCTGGCCTGCCCAAGGCTTTAGCAGGTGGGGCATGCGTTCCAGGCGCTCAGCTCCTGCTGGCCCTTCTCCCAGGGCTCTGGAGCAGGAGGTGAATTTGCAGGACCGCTGTGGCCCTGAGCTTAGCCTAAAGTTGTGTCTCTGACAGCCAGGCCACTTTGTACCCCATGAAGGCAAGCTTTGCACCCTTGTGTCTACAGGGACAACACTGATAGCGCCCTCTGCTGGCCCAACAGGTGCATTCCCACTAGGATTCAGATCCTAGGGTCCCCAAGCAACATAATGGTCCCCCAGAAAATCTGATAGACCCTCCCCCCCTCTCTGCCACCCATCTGCTCCTAGATTTAATTGCTAAGCCAGGCCTCTGCCACTTGGTGGCCATGGTCATCCTGGCTTCTGGGGTGACAGGAAGATTTGGAGATCCTGGGACTCCCACAGATCCCTGGCAGCAGATTCTGCCAGCCCCTGGGATCCGTATTTTGTTTTGCTTTGCTTTGTATAATATTTATTCTTTTTTGGGATGGCAGATTTACAGTGAAAAAAAGAAACATCTTCCATCTACGGGTTCACTCCCCAAATGGCCTCAGCAGCTGGAGCTGAGCCAGTCCAAAGTCAGGAGCCTCCTCTGGGCTTCCCACATGGGTACAGGGTTCCAAGGGTCAGGGCTGTCCTCCACTACTTTCCTAGGTCATAAGCAGGATGCTGGATGGGCAATGGAGCAGCCAGGACAGCCAGCAGTGCCCATATGCAATGTTGACGCTTGGAGGTGCAGGATTAGCCAGCAAAGCCATTTTCTTTTTATGATGATTTATTTATTGTTTTCCAAGAGGAGTAGCCCTGGCTGTTCCCAGCGTTGCCTTTTCTCTCGCTGCTGGTCCAGGTGCTGTTATTTCATGACCAGAATTACGGAATTCACTACGAATACACCGTTCCTGTCACCCACACCGCTGAGAATCAGAGTGAACCTGCCAAAGCCCAGGACTCCCTGTTCATCTGGACCCACAGTGGCTGGGAGGGGTGCAGCGTGCAGTGTGGCGGAGGTGAGTGGTGGAGATGCACCAGCAGGCGGCTTGGCCAAAGGAGACAGGCCGCTTCTGGGGCTCTGGGCTGCCTGTATTCCTGCATGAGTGTAGGCACAGCCCTTGGAGTTTCCCTGCTGGACAGCCAGGCTGACTCCTTCCCAGTCCCTTACCATGGAGATGAGCCCACATTACCCCTCTCCGCAGCAGGTGGGGCACACGAAGGGTGGTTTTTCATGGGCACAGAGTTAGGTCAGAAGTTGCCAGGGTCCTTGCCACATCACTGCCCAGCCCCACACTGAGCAGCTGCTGGCTGCAGAGCTGCACCTGTCAGAATCCCAGTGTAGATGGGCCGTTGAATACTTGTCAGCCACAGAGGGGCCTGAGTCCATCACACACTGCTGGGGGGTCAGCTGGGAACCCCTCCCAGCTTGTCCAGGGCCAGTGGTCCTCAAGCAGCCCATGGAGTCAGAGTTGCAACCTCTTTCCTGTTATTTTATCTCCCCCCACCCGCCCCTGCAGCCTAGCCCCTTCCCCAGGCCCTCAGTTGCCCCTCCATGCCAATGGCCAGTCACCCTCAGGCAGCCCCTGGGCACAAACAGGTTGGCACAAACAGGTTGGCTAAGCCCCAGGGGCAGAAGCTGAGACAGCCAGTGACCACATTAGTGACCTGAATCCAGACAGCCTGGCTCCAGAGGCCACCTGTTTCCCCTCTGTCTCTCAGTCCTGCTGGACAGGACCTGTCCACACAGTGTCTAGGGTGTGTGCCTCGGGGGTGACAGGTTAGCTGAGCAACCTCAAAGCAGGTGAGGCTGAGGCCCGAGTAGCAATTGGCGATGTGGACAGGTTCTATTAGGCTCTGGAATGTCCGCCTGAGGGGAGCAGGCACTTCAGACTGGCCTCCCCACCCCCACTGCTCCTTACTGACAAGGTTTCTTGGCCACTGGCCCCCATCTTCTTGGTGAGGGCCCGCATGCACGTCCTCAACTGGAACCAGGTCTCCCCGAGACTTTAAACATCAAATGGATATGGATGTTCACCATATATCTGGAGTGGACATTAATACTCCAACCAATCCTGGCCCTGACAACTCCAGAGCTGCCTTAGGCTGCAGCTGCTTGGAGCTGTAGCTGCTTTCTCATCTTGGTCTCCCGTTTCTCACATGCCCTACACTGTCCTGCCCCATCCTAGCCACCCTATCCTCCCATCTCTGACCAACAGCGTGGTGCTCCCAGCGGTCACCCGCAGTGACAGGGCAATGGCTGGACCAGGTGCCACTCCAGAAGCATGGCTGCATGGCCCTCCCAGGTGCATGACCACAGCCACTGAGCTCCCTGCCTCTGCTTCCAGGGGAGCGCAGAACCATCGTGTCATGCACGCGGATTGTCAACAAGACCACGACGCTGGTGAATGACAGTGACTGCCCACAAGCCAGCCGCCCGGAGCCCCAGGTCCGGAGGTGCAACACGCACCCATGCCAGTCACGGTAAGGAGCTGTGTGGTGTCAGGAAAGGGGGGGGCGACACCTCTCTGTGTTGTGCGCTGTTGTCATTCTGATGGAATGTTATTGCTGCACTTTGAACCCGTCTGCTGCTGAGATTCCCTTAAAAAAAAAGTTTCTTTGAAAGGAAGAGTTACAGAGGGAGATGCAGATGGATACAGCATCTTCCATTGGCTGGTTCACTCCCCAAATGGCCACACAGGTGGGGCCTGAGCCGGAAAACTCAATCCAGGTCTCCCACACCGGTGATGGGGGGTCCAAGCCTTCGGGTCGTCCCCCACTGCCCCTGGGTGCATTAGTAGGCAACTGGGTGAGTTGGATCAGCCAGAAGTTGAATCAGCGCTCAGGGAGATGCAGGCGTTACTGGTGACTGAGTAACTTATTGTGCCACAATCTTGTTGCTACCAAGTTCTCCCCCAAGGAGATGGAAAGAGAGTCGAGGCACCCAGGAGTAGGGGTGCACACAGGTGGGTACCAGGGGCTAAAATGAACGCCATCGTGTGCAGATGGTGATGTTGGTGGTCTGGGGTCACTGACGTTGTCCTAACTATGTTGCCTGCATGTCCGGAGTGACCTTGGTCCAGAGGAGTGAAATGCGCTCAAGGCTGAGGTCTCCTCTGCTGTGGCTTTAGAGGGGCCCGTGTGGGGTGCTGGTTCTGCCGTGCTGCAGGGCGCTGCCACGGCCCCGCTCTGCTGCGGGTCACGTTGCATGATGTCCTGCCATGTCGAGACGCGTTTTACCTTTTTGGTGCCGGCTTTAGAATTCTTAAATTCTGCAGCTGTTGTGTGGTTGGTGCGGGGCCTTCACCCTTTGCTGTGTCAAAACTCTGTACGCGCGTTAGAGAGAGGACCAGAGAGAGAGCGAGGACCAGAGAGAGAGCGAGGACCAGAGAGAGAGCGAGGACCAGAGAGAACGAGGAGGTGGGACTCATTTTGTCCACTTAGTGTACCCCCCCGACAGTGTTTGTCTTTGAGGATTTATTGATGTATTTGAAAGGCACAATTACAGAATCAGACCCAAAGATAAGAGATCTGTTGGTCCATTCCCAAAATGTCTACAACAACCAGAGCTGGGCTAGGTGGAAGGCAGGGACTTCATCTGGGTCTCTCGTGTTTCCAGGGGCCCATGTGGGCCATCCTCCACTGCTTTCCCAAGCACATCAACAGGGAATTAGAACCATCACCCATAGTGATACTGGGGCCTGGCGCAATAGCCTAGCAGCTAAAGTCCTCGCCTTGAATGCACCAGGATCCCATATGGGCTGGTTCTAATTCTGCTTGGGAGACCTGGAAGAAACTCCTGGCTTTGGACTGGTTCAGCTCCAGCTTTTGCAGCTGCTTGGGGAGACAACGATCAGACAGAGTATCTTCCTCTTTGTCTCTCCTCCTTTCTATATATCTGCCTTTGCAATGAAAATAAATCTTTAAAAAAAAAAATAAGTGCTACTGGTGTTGCAGGTGGTGGCTTCACGTGATGCACACGGTGCTGGCTCCTGCTTGGGCAGTTAGGAACAAGATTCCTCCAAGACGTAGGAGGACTCGAGCAAGCTCATGTTGGGCAGGAGCAGTCAGACCAGAGAGTCACGATAACACCCGCCTGGGCCCGTGGAGACCAGGACGTCCTGGACCAAGGCCCTTGGCCTCCCCCCTGCGAAATGATTAGGGTGTAGGAGGGGCGCGGAGTGTGAGGGGCGGCGTGGGCTCCGGGTCGGGACCAAATAAGGCAAGTCTCAGACATCCATTCAACAATCACATGTTCAAGTCTAGTACGTTTTTAAACTACTTGAGCATTTGGTTCTAACAATGCAGAGAAACCAAGTAAAATGCAACATATGAAGCAGGAGTTAACGTGCTTGACTCGAGACCTGCTGATGACAGGGAGGGGCAGGCGACCCCTCCGTTGTCATCTCCTCCCACGACAAAACTCCAAGGAGGGATGCCTGGGACCTGTCAGGAAACAGCTCTGTTTCCTGCAGTGACAGAGGAGCTTGAACGGGCCCATCCTATACAGAAAACGATGTAGGAAGCAAAGGGACACTGCAGAAAGAGAGCTGCATGTACAGGGGGTGCTGGCAGTGCTCTGAGCACGGGGTAGAAGCCGTCGCTGTGCCTGTGGCTCCAATGCTCTCAGTCGCCACAGCTTTGCAGACCACCTTCCCGAGGTCTCATGTTTGAGCCGAGTGCCAGCCAAACACCTTTGAGGATGCCATCAACTTCACAGTGCATTCTAGGAACCTCTATAGAACAAGGCTCAGCAACTTTTCTGTACCTCTAGATGGCAAGCATTTTTGATCTGTTCTCTGATGCCTGTTTGTTTTCACATTGTAATCCTTTATAGAAATCTTCCTGCCGGGCTGGAGAGAAGCACTGTTGCAGAGTAAGCCTGTGTGCAATCGTGTTGTGTCCACGGAGGTGTTGGCAGCTCACACTCGGCAGGAGCCCTAGCCCTGGCGATGGTGGTTCAGAGGGTGTCTAGTGTGACAAGGAGCGAGCTGTCATCCTGCAGGTGTTGCCTTGGTGCTCATCCCTGAGCGATGCACACCTGCACGTGCATCCGCCCGTGGTGAACAGGCGGAGGCCTTTCCCGTGCCCCAGGTTATCTTCTGGGATGCAGACCAGGCCTTCGCTCTTTAAAGGGGTCAACGTGAAATTTCTCCCCCCACGTCACTCTCCTCTGTCCTGCCCCTTCAGGTCCTTTCCCAACTGTAAGATATGGAAGTCAAAAGTAAAGGATAAATGGAATTTCTCTAAACAAATGAGAAATTAAGTCAATACAAAGAGAAGGAATTTGCCTTTGAGCCTAGGAAAGAAATATCCGCTGTAAGCTGGTAATTATTATTATTATTTACTTTATTCTATGAATTAATTTATGCTGAATCATCTGACCTTTCTTAAAATCGTCACATGACTCATCGAAGGTTATTTATTACTTGGCTAAAGAAATGTATTCTCATATGATAGACAGCCACACATGAAAGGACTTTAAGCAATTTTTTAAAATATACAAATGAGCAATTTTATTTGTTCAGCTTTAGTTTTAGTAAATCATGGATGATAAACATCTCAAATATATTTTAAACTACCCTTCAAGTTTTTAATCTCTTAGTAATCTCTGTTACTCCTTTATTCACATTTTACAGGCGGTAATACTGCTCATGACAGCTCCATACTAGCCTTGAGCTTTCTGTGTTTGTCCATCTGGGTTGCAGGTTCACATTCTCTGACATCCCACATATTGGAATTAAACTTTATCTTAGTGCAAAGGTAGCTGAAATCCAGGCATAGCTTTTTCATAACATGTATTTTACATAAACATTTTTGTTAACCTTCGTATGCTTGGATTACCTATATCTTTTAAAAATATTTATTTGTAAGGTAGAGTTACAGAGAGAGAGATCTTCCACGAACTGGTTGACTTCCAAACGGCTACCACAGCCTGAGCTGCGCCAGCCTGAAGCCTAGAGCCTGGAACTCACCCAGCTCTCCTCCAGGGTCCTGGGGTCCAAGCAGCTGGGCCACCTTTGCCTGGCCTTCCAGATTCATTAGTAGGAAGTTGGATCAGAAGCAAGGCAACCAGGACTCGTATAGGATGTTGGCGATGAAGGTGTCAGCTTAACCCTCTGTGCCACAATTAAAATAACTTTTTAAAATTGTTTTTCAAGAACTTTTTCAAATTCCCTCATACGTGTACACACAGAGACACTTATATGTACATGTACACATACCAAATACTCATATATCCGTACGCAATATATAGGGATATTATCGACAACTTTGTTTGGAGCTATATGCATTTATAGCACATGTTTGGACAGTGAAGCTTGACACACTGCACAGCAGATCCCAGTTCCCACAAGTCTTGCATGGTTAGATGGACTCAGGCTGGGAAGTGAAGTGTAGAGGTTGACCTTAGAAAACTGTGCTTGGGTCAAAGGGAGGGGTTTGAAGCTCTGTAGGAGCTGGGGAACCAATGGCTGTGTCAGGGAGGCAGGCTCAGATGGAGGAGAGGGCGGAGCCTGTAGCCTGGAAGCAAAGCCCAGAATCCAGTGGTGTGAACTTTGTGGGGCGACGCCACGAGTCAGCCCACTGTTGATCCTGGCATTCTGCGAGGGGCATTCTGTGTTACAACAGAAATGTTTGCCTTTTCCGTGCTTTCCTTTATTCCTCCTGATCGCCCTTTAATTTTCTTCAACCTTCTTTTTCCATCTAGGCTCCGAGGGTTTCCTTTGCTGTCTCAAGGGCATGTCATTAGCACCTCTTTATCCTAAACTGGTGCCTAGCATTGTGGCTTCTTCTCCCACACTCTACTCCGGAGTGTGGCACACAGGGCAGAGGGCCTCCCTCCAGCCTCTTGCACATCCAATATGGACACATCAGCAGCCTGGTCCCCCAACCTGGCAGACAAGGCAAGATCTGTAGGTCGGGTCGGCATTTAGGACCGTGGCCAGCAGCTTTCTCTTTCATGGCGCTGTGCCCCAGCAAGTTCCAGCACCCTGAAAACAGTGCTGTACACAGCAGCCCCTGGCAGCCCGAGTCCCCATGGTCCTGCAGCAGGAGCAGGGGCTGATGTGCCCAGGGCTCACCTAGGGGCACCAAGCTCCTGCTTTCCTAGACTTCACGTCTCGTCGGCTTACCCACTGGAGAAGGCCATTCCAAGTTAGTAGCTATTTCCCTGTAGTATTTACGATTTGAACTGCTTCCCAGGCAGTGCGTGCCGTGCTGTACAGTGAGCAAGGGCGATTCAGGAAAGAACATTCAGCATCGCCCTGGCAATTGCATGGTCATCTGTAAGGAAATGTATTTGGTTTTTAAATTTGTCCTCCTCTACTTAATTATCTTAACCAGGCTGGTCTTGTTTTACGTTAAAATTGAATGCACCCCCTCATTTTTCTTACTAAATCACATTCCATGTGTGTACATGTCCATTTGTGTGTATGGGGCGGGGAGAGTGGAGGGAGGGAGGGACGGAGAGAGAAAGCATGATT